CTAAGTTTTTGAAGTGCAAAAAGGCTGCAGAGACATCTGATTTTTTATTAAGAAAATAAATCCATGTAAATCTTGTGAAATGATCCACAAAGCAAACATAGTAATGGGAGTTAGATTGAGAAGTAATGGGAGAAGGTCCCCAAACATCTGTGTGAATAAGTTGTAGAGGTTTAGAGAACTGAGTGATTGAATCAGAAACAGGTAAAGAATGAGCTTTAGCTTGCATGCAAGAACCACAAAGAAACTTTTCATTGATAAGAAAAGGTACATTACAGCTTCTCATGACTTTAGTGACTACATCAACTGCTGCATGTCCTAACCTAGAGTGCCACAACTCCAAGTTTGTTGTTTTATTACAAGTGGCGAGAAAAACTCTTGGTCCTGAAGGAACAGAAAAGGTTGATGACAAAGACTTGACAGGGTTGGCAATGTGAGCATCAAACTTGTAGAGACCATCTTTAAGAGAACCTTGGAGAAGGACTTTGTGAGTTTCCTGATCCTTGATAAGACAGAGAGATGGGTGAAACTCAAAGAATACACAATTATCTTTGGCAAATTGAGAGACACTCACTAGGTTCTTAGTAATGGTGGGAACATGAAGAAGGTTTTTCAATATAAAGGTTTTAGAATGCAAATCAGATTTAAGATAAGAATTGCCAACATGAGAAATGCATAAACCTGTGCCATTACCTATCTGCAGCTTACTGTTGCCTTGAAAATCTGAGGCAAGGTTGAGGTTGGCAAGCTCATTTGTGACATGGTTGGTGGCTCCTGAGTCGGCAAACCAGCTTGCTTCAGTTAAAGTGTCACTAGCTGGTGAATGTGTGAGATAGTGAGCAGTTGGTGGTGCTGCTTGGTTTGGAGTGGTTTGAACTACTTGAGCCTGCATGTTGGTTGGTCCTGGGTAGGTTGAGTCATACCGATGATAGCAACGGTCTGCTGTGTGATTGGAGAGTCCACACAGTTGACAAGCAGGTCTATTTCCTCTGAAGTTCCTTCCTCTCCCTCTAGAGTTCCTGCCTCTTCCTCTGTTGGAAAAATTGTTGCTTCTTCCAAAGGGCCCTTGGATCTGATTGTTGGGAGAGTTGGCATGAGGTTTGCTGTTGTTGTTGGAGTTGTTTTGAACAGCAAAGTGAGCTGAGGGATTTGAGCCATCCATGTTGACTGTGGGCTGTGACTGAAGATCCATTCTAGATTCTAAGCTCAGGAGCATAGAGTGAACCTCATTTATGGTGTATGGCTTAGTTCTAGTTGTTACAGCTACAACCACTGCATTGTACTCTGGCCCTAGTCCAGCAAGGATATGAAGGATGTGATTCTGATCACTGACTGGCTCTCCAGCTGTGCCAAGTGTATCACAGCAGCTCTTGACTTGAGAGAGAAACTCCCTCATGGGCATGTTCCCTTTCTTAAGGGTTTGCAACTGCAGTTTGAAATGCATGAGCCTGGCTTTGGATTGACCCGAGTAATTCGACTCAAGGGCTTGCCAGATCTCCCTAGAGGTGTTCTTGCCCACCATCATGATTAGCAGATTTTCAGAGAGAGAGGAGAGGAGCCAGCTGGCTAGAAGCTGATCTTGTCTAACCCAGCTCACATACTCGGGGTTGACTTGGATCTGACCTGTGTTGTCTGCAATGGTGGTTGGTGAAGGAGTCAGATCTGAGTTGGAGATATAGCTTTCAAGTCCATAACCTTTGATGGTGGTTAAGACTTGCTGTTTCCACAGAAGAAAATTTGAATCTGTGAGTTTCAAAGACACTAGTTTATGGTGTGGCTGGATAAGGTTGTTTTGAAGGCCAAGAACAGGTGGTGGAGATGTGGTGTGGCTTGCTGAGGAGTCTGCCATTATAGCAGATCTCGAGGGCAGATTTTAATGAATGAAAGTGACAGCAATGGTCACCAGAGACAGGTGAAATACCTGCTCTGATACCATGTTGGACGATGAGCTTTTGCAGGCAGTCATTAATGAACAAAAGAACAGGGAACATATTGCAAAAGAAAAAGCCAAACATCTTTCTCATTAATTGTGTGTAAAGATGAACACTGTACATGCCTTATATAGAACGAGTAGGTAGCCCTATCACAAGCTAACCCTAATACTGAAACCAATGCAAAGAAGCCACATGTCCATGCATGAAGTCATGCATGAGAGAGAAAAGGAGGAACAGCTGGAAAAACGCAGCAGAAGAGAACAAAAGAGTGAGGGACTTGTACTGGTATTACTCATGAGGTAAAATGTAGTTACTGTGAATTGTATTTTGTTTATTATCTTAGAGTTGAGCTATTTTAACTAGTGAGAGTCTAAAATGTCACGAGTTTGTAGCTGAAGGGATGATAATTGTGTTTTATAAGAATATTGCATTAATTGATAGAATCATATCAATTAATGTAAATGAAATATGAATTTTCGTATTAAAATATCATACCTTTAAATAATCAACATAAATAAATATAACGGTTGATGGTAAATAATGCATTGTATTTATATAGGTTACTTATATGTTGCTCAATAAAGTGCATTGAGTGATTTCACATTAGCTTTCTTGTAATTGTAATATTATATACTACAAAGAAGGAAATGAGGAAAAACGATTTTCTAGATGTATCCGTCTTCTTATGCATCACAGAACTGTAGCCTGAATTTGAAAGCAAATTTACTCATGATAATCATTTATTTTAACATCTTCGAACTATACAAAAGTTTGTTGACATATATGACATATACCGCCAGTAGGTAAACTCAATATTCAATTGTGAAAGCATCTCTACTAACTCATATTTTAGAGAATGTGAGAACATCCACAATCACATTTGTCTAATTTTGATGCACAAATTAGGCTTCCCTTAGGCAAACATGCTTTATAAAAAATACATATTTATATAATTAAATATCATATTTCTAGTTACGTGTTATTTTAAGTGTGACATCTAGGCATTAATGTATGTATATTTGTCAAAAGATCATAGTCAAAAGATAGTCTGACAATAGCATCATTAATTAATTTTGATATCTGAATTATATGCATGAAGAATATTTTAAATTTTTCTAAAATTTTGAATTATTATATTCAAATCAATAGATTTACATACAGTTCAACATCTCTTTTTTCTCTAATATACCTCATAATGAACATTGTACCATCTGAAGTATATTGAAATGGAATTCAAACGGCAATTCCAACGAAAATTCCAATGCAATTATTCCGTTTGAATATTCTAATGAATTCTAATTGAAATTCCAACGAAATATTCCGTTGGAATGAGTTTTTCATTAGAATTCTCATTGGATTTTGATGATTTTAATGACATATTTTCCAACGGTTGAAGTATAGATATAAACAAAAATTCCAACGGAAATCACATGTTTAAAAAAAATCCTACGATAATAAACCGTTGAAATCATTAAATTCAAATCAAAATTCCACGGAAAACTCATTCCAATGGAATATTTTCATTGAAATTTCTATTGGAATCATTTTAACGGAAACTATACCCTTAGAATATCAATTGAAATTACCATTAAAATTTATTATCGTTGGAATATGACATTTTTTTGGTAGTGTTACGTATACCAAATTACCAAATTATTATTGAATTCATAGTTAATATTCCACATTATGTATGTACATGATAAAAACTCTTAAATCATTTTCTGAAAATGAATCCAAACGAATCTTATCGTTTACAGAAGAGTACAAAAACAAAAAATTATGGACAAATTCTTTTTTAGTATAGGGCAAATCAAATAATTAAACCACAGCTACTTTTTTCCTCGGCCCACACGCATGTATATGAATGGTATAGATGATTAGACTGTTTAACTTTTGGGCAATAATGTATAGCAGAGAGAGGCNCTTTTCATATCTTTTTTTTTTTCAATTCTTTTTCTTTTCAAGTACTATTACTTGTTCAAAGAAAAGGGTTTAATTTCTATTGGAATTTAACTAAAATGAGATGATATAACAGTACTATATAATTTAGATTTTGTGTAAATGCTAATTTACATTGAGTGAAAATAAATTATGAAAGTTAGTCTCAACATACATGTTGCGAAAAATTGAAAATCTAGGAAAACCTATCACATAAAACTCAGAAAGAGAATTGAGATGCCATTTATATTGAACTTGGATAATTGGTTGGTCTTGTGTGTTTTAAGAGTGATTTGGTGGTTTCAAACTAAACAAGTGACACATATGATATTGATGAATCACCTGACCATTTCTAGTAGGTTACCAAGTGGCTTACCAACTGGTAAATGTTGTCCATTATGATAGAACATCTTTGTTCGTGCCCGGCATTCTAGCACTTGAGGGGTTGCTTGTATACAAATTTATATCCAAATATCAAATCACGGCCCAGCCTGTATTGGGGACTTAGGGTGTTCTTTCAAATGAATATATATAGGAAAGTCGATTTGAAGACAAATAAGTCGCTTTGGCCGAGTGGTTAAGGCGTGTGCCTGCTAAGTACATGGGGTTTCCCCGCGAGAGTTCGAATCTCTCAGGCGACGTATTCTTTTTTTTTTTATGTCAGTTTATTGAAAAAAAAAATGTTTTGTAAAATTATGAAATCTACATATATATTATTATAAAGAGCAATAACCAATAAGTCTATAAATAGTCATATTAAAATGGTACCACCAAACGTTATTATTACTTCGTTTAAAAACTTGGTATTTTCATTAAAAAAACGATATTTTTGAAAAAAATAAAAAATCTAGCATTCTATAATTCTCATGCATATCTAAATTCAAATATACCTATAATTATGTTTACATTACCAGTAATTATAAATTAAACTGCTATAAATAAATTATAAACTATAAAACAATTATATGTTTATGTAAAGCCAAGTTTGAAAATAGCTTTAAAATTATTGAATTCTTACTGATTCGATATATATAAATATTGAATATTTAAATTTTATTCTTAATGAAAGATAGATATATTTTTATGCTAATGTACAATGATCTATAAACAACAGTTAATAATATGAAAGAATTATAAATCAAAGGGCATTTAAAGTTATATATATAAATTATAAACCATCACAGCAAAAAATCTCAATTATCAGACTTCACCAAGAAACTCTCACTACTAATAATACTACCATCTGACCACTGCCAAAATTTACATTTCATACAAACAAAAGGCAAAACACTAAACCAGCTGCCAATTGTTTCTCAACACTAGAATTTGCTTTGTTCCCCCTCAGATTCATGCTTTTTGAGCTGCAACAAGGAAAAGCGGTCAATCAGATTCAGAGCTTTTTGTTCCGACCAGTGATCGATTATTCTAAAGACTCGTCATAATTATCTAATAGTAATAATTGTTGGTCTTGTTAGTGACGTCTTTGCAAAGCATAGACCGAACTTCCATGATGCATCTCGGGGGTTCTAAATCTGTCTCCTGCAGAGCATTGCCTAGCAACTGTTGCATTTGTGAAGCAAATGTGTCGTCCAGAACCTAAAACCCATTTATTGTCATAAACAACATTATATGTAAAATACATTAACCGATTTTTCTCAATGTTCGACAAAGAAAACACACTTACAGTCACTGCAATCCGTGAGGCCTTGTATAAAGATCTGTTTTCCTTCCTATCTTCTAGAAACTTCAGCACGTCCTGCATTTTTCGAGAATCATATTACAGTGTAACAATAACTAATGAAAAAAGCACAAAAAATAAGAAATAAAAAAAATTCACAACTCGAGTGGCTACTGACCTGTCCCATGCGGTCCCAGAAACTACGGCAGACTATTAGAAAGACTTGACTTTCAAACACACCATGCAATTGGTCAATGGTACTGCCCAACAGCTCCTTCAGAGGCTGCATTCTACGTCTCAACTCAGATTCTATCACATTATCCTTCGCGTCTTGGATTATCTTCTTTAACTTTGTAATATTATGTAGTTTGGTCTGCACATTAAAAAATAAAAAATATTGCAATGCAGTATCAGAAACATCATGAAAGGAATAAGTTAATTAAATAAC